TAAAGGCATCTGCTCTCCCGGCCTCAATTAAACAATATCCCATGTCCCGGGAGGCCCGCGATGGAATCAAACCTCACATTAAGAGGCTACTGGAGCAGGGCATTCTAACCCCCTGCCGGTCCCCCTGGAACACTCCCTTGTTGCCAGTCAAGAAGCCCGGAACCAATGACTATAGGCCGGTCCAGGACCTCCGGGAAGTCAATAAGCTGGTTGAGGACATACACCCCACGGTCCCCAATCCCTATAACCTCCTGAGTGGACTGCCACCTGACTATATTTGGTACTCAGTCCTGGATTTAAAGGATGCCTTCTTCTGCCTGCGGTTACACAAAGACAGTCAGCCACTGTTTGCCTTTGAATGGCAGGATGCAGACCTGGGAATCATGGGACAACTTTGACTGAGGGGAGAGCCAGGAGAAAGCCTTCATGGACATCAAGAAGGCTCTGCTCAGCTCCCCAGCTCTGGGGTTACCTGATCTGACTGAACCCTTTGACAAATTGACGTTGGGGCAGCCTTTGACTATCTATGCTCAGGCAGCCACCAGGCCGCTGGCTCACCAATGCCAGGATGACCCATTACCAGACTCTGTTGCTGGACAAGGACCGAATTCACTCCGGGGCTCCGGTGACCCTAGACCCCGCCTCGCTACTCCCCCTCCCGGGGAAGCAGAGACTCATGACTGCTTACAGATCCTGGCTGAGGTCCATGGGACGAGAGCTGACCTCACGGATCAACCCCTTCCCAACCCTGACCTTGTCTGGTTCACGGACGGAAGCAGCTTTGTACATCAAGGGGAGCGGAAAGCCGGTGCTGCAGTGACAACTGAGTCAGAAACAATTTGGGCTGAGGCCCTGCCGCCAGGAACATCGGCTCAACGAGCAGAACTGATTGCCTTGACACAGGCCCTGAGACTGGCAGAAGGTAAGAAACTCACTGTCTACACAGACAGCCGCTATGCTTTTGCCACCGCTCACATCCATGGTGAAATTTATAGGCGAAGGGGGCTATTGACCTCAGAGGGCAGAGACATTAAAAACAAAAAGGAAATCCTGGCCCTCTTAGAGGCTCTGCACCTCCCAACCGCCCTCAGTATCATACATTGCCCAGGGCATCAGAAAGGCGACAGCCCCGTTGCCCGGGGAAACCGGAGGGCCGACCTGGCCGCCCGGGAGGCTGCCTTGACCTTGGAAAGCAACAGTCACCTCCTCCAGGCGGCTGTAGTCCCTGCAACTAATGAGGCTTCCGAGAAGACCTCCCCGTCATGGGACTATGAAATAAAAGACATCAAAGCCATGAAAAGACTGGGGGCGACCCGAGTACATGATGGTCTCTGGACCTATCGAGGAAAGACTGTCCTTCCCCGCCTAATGACTAGATATCTGGTTAACAGCCTACACAAACTCACTCATTTGAGCTCCAGGAAAATGAGAGAACTATTAGCCCGGGAAGAAAATACTCGCTACCTGTTGGGAATAGAAGAAATAATAAAACAAGTGACTGAGCAATGTGACGCCTGCGCCCACGTCAATATGACCAGGCTAAAGCTACCCAAGGGGACCCGAGCTCGGGGGCACTGGCCTGGGGTGCACTGGGAAATAGATTTCACAGATCTCCTGGTTTTTGTTAACACCTTCTCGGGATGGACTGAAGCCTACCCCACCAAGCACGAGACAACAAAGGTGGTCACCAAGAAACTTCTTGAAGAAATCTTCCCCCGTTACGGAATGCCACAGGTATTGGGGACAGACAACGGGCCTGCCTTTGTTTCTCAGGTAAGTCAGTCTGTGGCCACCTTGTCGGGGATTAATTGGAGATTACATTGTGCTTAATAACCCCAAAGCTCAGGACAGGTAGAACAAATAAATAGAACCATTAAGGAGACTATAACTAAATTATCGCTGGCAGCTGGCACTAAAGACTGGGTCCTCTTGCTCCCCCTTGCTCTCTATCGTGCCCGGAATACACCGGGCCCCCATGGCCTCACCCCTTTTGAAATTCTGTATGGAACCACCGTTCCCTTTGTTCAGTTCTTTGACCAAGATATTTCTGACTATGCCAATTCCTCCTCTCTTCAAGCTCACCTGCAGGCACTCCAGCTGGTTCAGCAGGAAGTCTGGAAGCCTCTGGCCCAAGCCTACCGAGACCAGAGGAAACACCCTATCGTCCCTCACTCCTACAACGTGGGAGACAGCGTTTGGGTCCGGCGCCACCAGGCTAAGAACCTTGAACCCCGCTGGAAGGGACCATACACAGTCCTGTTGACCACCCCTACTGCTCTCAAGGTGGACGGGATTGCTGCTTGGATACACGCCTCGCATGTAAAAGCTGCCTTCCCTGGGGATCCGGACTCAGGATGGAAAGCTCAACGCACTCAAAATCCTTTAAAAATAAAACTTACCCGCTCCCCTCCCTCCTGCTAATAGCCCTCCTCATAAAATCAGACACTGGTGTGGCCTCCAGTCCCCATACCGTTTATAAATTAACCTGGGAGGTTCTCTCCCAGATGGGGGAGGTCATTTATGCTGTCACGGAACCACATGCACTTGGGACATGGTGGCCTACTCTACGGCCTGAATTTTGTGATTTAGTAGCAGGGTTGAACACTTGGGACATTCCCCATTGCCACCCAAAGGCATGCATCAGTGGTTCCCACCTTTACAGACGTCGACGTACATTCATATTCGTGGACCCCAGAGAAACCACCCCCGGGTGTGTTAGTCGCAGAGCCAGAGAGCAGCTAAATTCACTGGACTTCTATGTCTGCCCCCGAGATGGACGTACCTGGCAACAGGCCCGGAAATGTGGGGGATATAATTCCTTTTTCTGTGCAGCTTGGGGGTGCGAGACTACAGGGGACGCATATTGGAGGCCATCCTCATCCTGGGATAAAATACAAGTACGCAGAGGCTGGGACAAAGGACAATCTGGAATGATAGGTATGCCCCTTGCCATTTCTTTCACTGCACAGGGAAAGCAAGCCCCGGACTGGCAGACTGGGTATACCTGGGGTTTGCGTTGGTATCTACACGGACCAGACAGGGGAGTAATCTTTACAATCAGATGCAAGGTGGCTCCCGTCAATCCACAGGCCATAGGCCCTAACCAGGTCCTTACTGATCAAAAGCAGCCTAGCTTACTCATGCCCAAGGCTGATACCAGGCCTCTGAACCTGCCTAAAACCACAGCCGCTCCTGCGCCTACAGAAAGCACTCCCAAACCCCCCTCCTCGGGCCCCCCTTGAAGGCACGGGAGATAGAATATTAGCCCTAATCAAAGGGACATATGCCACTCTGAATTTAACTCGCCCAGATAAGACTAAGGAATGCTGGCTTTGTCTGACTCCGCAACCTCCCTATTATGAAGGCTTAGCGGTTATGGGCGAATATACAAATCAGGCCACAGCCGAGGCTCTTTGTGGGACAGCTACGCAACATAAATTGACCATCTCAGAAGTATCTGGAAAGGGGCTATATATAGGTAAAGTCCCCGCTACGCATCAAGGACTATGCAATGCCACTGAGCCTTTGCTCCAAAGTAGCCGCTACTTGATAGCCCCCAATGGGACATATTGGGCATGCAACACTGGATTAACCCCTTGTGTCTCCACCACGGTACTTAAGTACCACCATTGACTATTGTGTTCTGATCGAATTATGGCCTAAGGTAATTTACCACCCCTCTGATTATGACTGACCTGATAAGAACTGGCCGCAGTAAGAGGTAACCTATCTCCATCACCACTGCCATCCTACTAGGAGGACTAACCATGGGAGGCATAGCAGCAGGAATAGGAACCGGTACTGCCGCACTGCAGGAAACTAAACAGTTCCAACTCCTACAACAAGTAATGCGTGCAGATATTCGGTCTTTAGAGGAGTCTGTCGCTGCCCTGGAGAAGTCTCTGTCCTCCCTGGCAGAAGTAGCCCTCCAAAACAGAAGGGGACTAGACCTCTTATTTTTACAGCAAGGGGGAATTTGTGCGGCCCTTAAAGAAGAATGCTGCTTTTACGCAGACCATACCGGAGTGGTAAGAGATAACCTGGCTAAAATAAAAGAAAGACGCCAAAAGTACCACCAATTAATTGAGTCCCAACAGGGATGGTTTCAGAATTGGTATAACAGGTCCCCTTGGTATTCGACTCTCATATCCACTATTATGGGACCCCTGATCATTATATTTCTGATTCTGATGATTGGGCCATGCATCTTAAACAGATTGATCCAGTTCATAAAGGAAAGGTTATCAATTGTACAATCACTGGTTTTGACTCAACAATACCAGCAGCTAAAGCAAAGGGATTTCGAGATGGCAGAAACCTCTGAATGAAAGATTTCATTCAGTTACAAGAGCAATGGGGGAATGAAAGACCCCGGCCCAGCACCGGTGGCTGAGGCCTATGGAAAATTCCTTTCCCCCACAGCTCAGCCGAATAGTCATTTTTTGATCAGAAGGAAGCTCAGCTCAAGGTCTTTACAGCTGCATAGTCACTACTATCTCTGTCCAGATAGGGGCCCAGGTGTCTATGGTCTGCACAGCCAGCCCAGAAAGATTGGGCAGGCAGAACCTTTGTTCTTCAGATAGGGCCAAGGCCGAGAATTGGTTCTGAGAGAAACCTTAATTGCCTCTCTGTCCAGATGAGAGAAACCTTAATTGCCTCTCTGTCCAGATGAGAGAAACCTTAATTGCCTCTCTGTCCAGATGAGAGAAACCTCGTTCTGAGCCCCCGCCTCATTTAAATTACCCAATCAGGGTCCTGTAACTAGGCTTCTCGCTTCTGTACTGCGCTTTTTGCTATAAAAGAACCCCTGAGTCCCCAGCTCGGGGCTCTCAGTTCCCGAGACTGAGACGCCCCGGGTACCCGTGTATTATCAATAAAGCCTCTTGCTGTTTGCATCCAAGCTCGTGGCCTCGGTGTTCCTTGGGTTCGGGTCTCCCTCCCGTGAAAGTCCCCCGCCTGGGGTCTTTCATGTCATCCCTGAAAGTACTGCTCTGTTGCAGATACCAGTGTTTCAACGAGGCGGAAGTGTGGTACCAACAAAGACCAGTGTGGGCAAGTCCACAGGCTGGATGCCTGACTCCCCATATGGACTCCGGCTCGCTCTAAGCACTCAGGTATTAGGAAAGCCAATTGTCCCCACCCCTTCTCTTTACAGTAGTGGCCTCTTGAGGGTATGAAAAGGTAATGACTCTCATATGAAATAGTGCTCCAATGTTAATCTCAAAGTCAAGGGCTGACTCATTTCTGAATCATTGTGAAGTCTGCCCTCCCTGACATTTTTCTTAGGAACTCCGAGACCAACTGTCGCACCTGCTGTGCGGCCTGCATCCGAGAATGTAGCGAGGTGGTCGGGATAGATGACACAGAGACCGGTCGGTTGCTTTAAGAAAACTTTATGTTTCCCAAGTCAGCTTAGGAGGAGACCCCAGTCCGCTTAGGAGAGCTCTCAGGAGAAGTCTCTCTAAGAAAAAGGAGCTTCCCTTTTTAAGGACTTCTGCCATTCATCTACATACCATTCTTTCCTCCTGGCTGGTGGTTTAATCTCCGGCCCCAGAATCGGGGAGACACCACAGGGAAACAGGAAGAGGCATCTAGCCGTAGGGGGTGTGAAAGGCCTGGTATTTCAGTGAGCAAGCCCTTATCTGAGCCCTATCAAGAGCTTTAAAGCACTGAATTGTTTTCAGTAAACATTACACAGATGCCTGCTCCCAGGCCGAAGGGGAAGTGGGTTTCTGCTCAAGGTCTGGTGTCCCCACAACCAACGAATGATAAAAATATGTTTCTTGGGCATGTAATGTCTATCTCTTGGGTTGGCATAGGTTATTAGTGGAAGAACATTTATTATGCAGCCTGCCCCTGAAGTAGTTCTGAAACTCAGTCTCCTACAGAAGAAGGACATAAAATTAAATGTCAATTCTTTGGGGTATACACTAACCCATTCAGTGACTGTGTTCTCATCAGGCAGCTCAAATCACTCACGTCTCCTTGAGTATGATTTGGGAGTACCAAGAGTATCTTTTCAGCCAAGTGAAGCCTGTGTTATACACATCTCTTATCCACTTATCCCAGTGTCTTCCAGAGTCAAATACATATTCTGTTATAGTTATATTAATATTGTAAAATGGGTAAATTACAGTTTTCTTTACCATGCATTTTATTGAAGCTTGTCTTCTTCAGCCAAACTCTGGTATGGGATCCATTGGGGTCCCAGAATGCAATAAGCTAGAGATCCACCCTGGAGCCAACATTGTTTTTTTGTTGTTGTTGTTGTTGTTGTTGTTGTTTGTTTTGGCTTTTATGAGACAGGGTTTCTCTATATTGTTTTGGAGGCTGTAGGTCCAGCCCGGCCTCGAACTCACAGAGATCCGCCTGCCTCTGCCTCCCAAGTGCTGGGATTAAAGGCGTGTGCCACCACCGCCCGGCTGAAGCCAACATTGTTAATAAATGGCCTGCCATGTGGAGGCTGTAGTACTTGGCTACAGAAGAGGTCCTCCCAATTTGAGTAGGAAGGTCTTCTAAACATAGAAGATAGTTGTTTTCATCTATTATACAGGGATATTTTCAACTTCAGTTCTGTTCTGTGAACTTTCTTGTCACATTCTGGGATAGTGTTTTCACAGAAGCCATTACTGATCATACTTCATATTTAATTTTCCTTCAAAAAAGTCTAACTCTTTGTGTTCCTCTTATGTAGCCTCACTGTTCATGTTACTTTATTATCTACTCAGGAGTGACTGGATATTGAATGTGTAAGGAACTTGTGTGTAACTCTGTGCAGCTTGGATATTCAGCTTCTCAGGCATTTCGCCAGCTTTCAGACGTTACTCTTTCCTGTTAGAAGATGGCTTTTTTATATATATATAAAACTACTGCCATTAGCAGATCTTCTGTGATTCACTCTGCAGGATTCTGCTGTGGGAGAGCTGTATCTTGATGATGGCCATTCATTCCAGTACCTCCAGGACCAGTTCTTACACCGAAGGTTTTCATTCCATTCCGGTGTTCTGATCAACAGGTGAGGACAGTTGCAAAGCTGTGACTCTTCTAAGATTATACTACCCTCCGCCGCCGGGCGGTGGTGGTGCATGCCTTTAATCCCAGCACTCGGGAGGCAGAGGCAGGCAGATCTCTGTGAGTTGGAGGCCAGCCTGGTCTACAGAGCAAGTTCCAGGACAGCCTCCAAAACAATACAGAAAAACCCTGTCTCAAAAAACAAACAAACAAAAAAGATTATACTACCCTCTTGGCATCTTCAGCTAAGTGGATAGCTCAAATTTTAAATCACTGTTTAGCGCCTTGAGAAGTGGCCTGTGGGTTAAAGAGCCCTGGATGCTCTTGAAGGGGACCCAAGTTCTCCCAACATCCATATGTTCTGTAACTCTAGCTGCAGGGGGTCTGACTCCCCCCCCCACCCCCGTCTGTAAGGGCATGTGGCGTACTTACATACATGTAGCCAAAACATTCATGTTCATAAAATAAAAATAATAGAAAAATCTTGAAGGTATTATTTAAATAAATAATGATGAGGGCCATTTGTATTTTAATTACTGACCCTGAAAGTACCTTCCTTTTTGTTCTCATCTTCTTTTCCTTACCTGCCTACCAAATAAAACACTTAGCTTAAGTACTCATAATACCCTAATTCCCCCATGCACCAATTAATTAAATATCTGCTTTCTTTCAGTTAGATTTTAATGTGCAAGCCACCCTGAACCTTGTGTGTCCTTCACATGGTTCAGGGAAATTGATGTGGCCACTGATTACCTAGTCCCTGGCACACAGAATCACCTGTTTCCTCTCTTTGTCCTACTGAATGTGGCTCCTGTACGGACCATGACTCCATAGAGACAGACAGGAAGAACTCACAAGGATGGAGATGTTGACTTGGTGACCAATCAACAGCCCCGTGCCTCTCCTTTGCCTGATAGCATTTGTAACTCTTCCAGGTGTGCTGATGAAAAGGGTCATTATCCCAGCAAGTGCGTAGTGGAGCAGATTTTGGTCTTAGGCATTGGGAAGAAGCCATCTTCTGTGACTACCCACTCATCTGGTAAGCATTTGTCCTGTAAACACAGAAATATCTGCAGTGAAGAGATGATTTGTTCCCAAACTGACAAACTATGCTTAGGTCAGAAAATCTCTGCCCTTCCTGGGTCAGTTCTCTAGTGTCTAGAGTGAGCAGCCAATCTGCTTCTCCTCATGGATTGACTTTTTTTTTTTTTTTTGGTTTTTACAAGTGGATTGGCCTTTTTGCCCACAGTTAATATTTACTAAGAGAAATTGTTGAGGGCTGGAGAGATGGCTCAGAGGTTAAGAGCACTGTCTGTTATTCCAGAGGTGCTGAGTTCAATTTCAGCAACCACATGGTGGCTCACAACCATCTGTAATGATATCTGGTGCCGTCTTCTGGCATGCAGGGTTAGTGTAGGCAGAATACTGAGAGAGAAAGAGAGAGAGAGAGAGAGAGAGAGAGAGAGAGAGAGAGATCTTCAGTCCTGGAGAATTCTTAGCATTTTAAGGAACCTAATGCAAGAAATGATGTGGAATTGTGCCTTCCCTCACCTCCTGCATTTCTTGAATAAATTGCTTTGCTCCTTCTAGTTTCTTTACAACCAGGAGTATACGCCAAACAATTAGACTGTTCATGTTTTAGAACGTTCACAGGAGTTCATGAATAAAAGTGCTTCTTCTAAGTGAGGTGTAACATTGTTTGAGAGCACCAGACATATCAGATTTGAAGGGGGGGAAAAGATATTTTTCTCCTGGCTTCTCAGTGTCTTCTTATTGTCTTGCTGTTTAGATGGTAAGGTTCAGCCTGCAGCTTTTACGTACCATGCCAAAACATCTACCCTGAGTCTGGAGAAGCTTTCCCTCGGCATTGCTGATGACTGGGAGGTCCATATCAGATGATGAGCAGGTGCCCTGGTGATGAGTGTGGGAGCCTTCAGACCACCCAGCCTCCTGGCCTTCTGTGAGATCTGTGCTGCCATCCAATTTGCTTCCCTGGAAAAAATGATATTTTGCTTGTCTCTAGGATATTGATGACCAGTAGATTTCAGATTTGAAGATTTCAGGTACAGTGGCCCATTCCTGTAATCACAGCACTCAGGAGGCTAAGACAGAAGGATCATGATGAGTTCAAGACTAGCTTAAGCTGTATCACAAGACCTTGTCTCAAAAAATCAAAAATAAGATTTCAATTTTACACCTAAAGATGCATTATTGATGAACTGTACATGCACTGCCCTTCCCACAGACCAACAAAGCCGTGAGCCATTGATAGAGCAGTGAGCAGCCCGACCTGGAGCTACTCAGGAGGCCCATTTTTAGGGCTTGCCTTGGGCTGTGCAGCAGAGTCACTCTGGCTGTTGCAGCAGCAGAGTTGCCCAAACCAATCTCCAAATAGATGACAGTGCCCAGTGTTCTCGGGGTTGCCTTCCACCACAGCAGTGCAGGCACGGCGCCCTCTCCTGCGGACACTGCATATAGGCAGGGCTGTAGAAAGCTCTCCCTAGAGGAAGTTTCCCTTTCTTGCTTCGGAGACTCAATCTTCAAGTTCAGATTTACTCCTTTTTAATTATATTTTACTAAATACTCTCTACTAACCAAAGAATATTTAAACACAAATAAGCTATAATTAGTAATAATGAAATAAATATCCATGTCCCACAAGCGAACTTCAACAGTAGAGCACAGGACTGGGACTATAATAACACAAGTAAGAGGCAATCAATAATCAAATAAGTAATATTTTAATGCACTGTCTTTTTTTTTTTTTTTTTTTTTTGGTTTTTCAAGACAGGGTTTCTCTGTAGCTTTGGAGCCTGTCCTGGAACTTGCTCTGTAGACCAGGCTAACTTCAAACTTACAGAGATCCACCAGCCTCTGCCTCCTAAGTGCTGGGATTAAAGGCATCTGCCACCAATACCTGGAAGTTAATGTTCTGTCTTTAAAAATAAAATGAATACAAAAACCCCAGGCTGAGCAAGAGACTTTAAATAAAGATAGCTCAGTGTTACTGACTTCCTTTTGTATTGGGGTTCCAATATGGCTTGGCACAGGCTTGAATACTGTGACATAGTAGTTGCATCACAATGCTTGGGCTCTGGAGACCCTGAGACTCCTGCTGTCTGCTTCAGCAGCTATTGGGGAGGCCTCAGTTCCTCAGCACATGAGTCCCTCTCTGCATTTCTTCCATTTAGCTACCTGCAACTGTCCCCGTTCTGCCTTCCCTCTCCTCCCTTGCCTCCACCTATACAAATCTTACCATCCTTCCAGACCCAACCCAAACCCTACTTTTCTGTGAAGACTTCTAACCTGACACCCCAAGCCCCACCCCTCGTGATCTTATTCTCTGAAATGCTGCCCCACAAATAATTGTTCCCTGCTTCATCTTCTCAGGGATGTACCTTGCTACTATAAGTATCTAGAGTGTATGTTCCTTAAGATCATGTTCTATTTCTCCCATATTTTATACCACTGTGGTAGTTTAATGAAAAATGTCCCCCATAGGCTCATATGTTTGAGCACTTGGTCCCCCATTGGTGGCACTGTCTGGGGAAGTTGTGGAACTTTTAGGGGGTACATCCTTGCTAGAACAAGTGTGTCATTGGGGATGGGCTTTGCTCATTCCAGTTCCTGTTTGCTTGCTCTGCTCCCTGTGTGCTGTTGAGATGTGATCTCTGTCTCAGCCACCGTCTCCAGCACCTGCCATGCCTCCCTTGCTATTATGGCTCTCCATATGGAATGTAAGCCAAAATAAACTCTTCTATAAGTTGCTTTTGGTTGTGGTGTCTTATCACAATTTTACTCTTTGTTTGCTTCCTGGTCATGAGGTAGATGTTTTTGCTTTTCCACAAGTTTCTCTCATGGACCTTTTTACAGGTCCAACAATGGAGCTAATTGATGTGGACAGGAACCTCTAAAACTGTGAGCCAAAACAAACTTTTTTGTCTATATAATAATCTGTTAATTATCTCATTTATTTTGTTATAGTGATGGATAGTCAATTGATACCATGAGTGAATGGTCATTCAACCCAACCTAACCCCAAAGTGATATTAAATTCAGGCTTTTTCTACCAACCCAACAACAGAATAATTACCATCATGCCAATTTTACATGAGACAAGACTGTCTCACAGGAAAAAAGGACAAAGTAACTCAGCTAAAGTTATACAGTCATAGCTGGTAGTGGTCAACCTAGACTTTGAACCTGGACAGCCAGCCTTCAGAAACTGCTCTCTGTTTTCCTTCAAGAGTAGGGCATTTTCTTAGAGGAACAGGAAGATAAGCTGATGGTTCCAGTAGCCAAGACATAGGGTTTTGACAAACTACCTTGCCTAATCATACTCTCTCTCTCTCTCTCTCTCTCTCTCTCTCTCTCTCTCTCTCTCTCTCTCTCTCTCTCTCTCTCTCTCTCTCTCTCTCTCTCTCTCTCTGTGTGTGTGTGTGTGTGTGTGTGTGTGTGTGTGTGTGTGTGTGTGTGTGTGTGTTGTGGCTGGGTAACATGTGTGTATACATGTTTCTGTGTATAAGTGTGGGCATGCACATGTACACATGGACCCTGGCACACACAGAAGAGGATGACCTGGGGTGTTGGTCCTTGTTTCCACCTTGTTTGAGACAGGGTCTTTTTGTTGCTTGCTGTTGCATAGGCTGACAGCCTGGCCCATTCTAGTAGTTCTGTCAGTCTGACAGCCTGGCCCGTCAGTTCTAGTGGTTCTGTCAGTCTCTAGATGCACTGGGATGGCAGACATGCTTCTGCACCTAGTTTTACTGGGAGCTCAAATGCTCACACTTATGTGACAAGTGCTTTACCACTGATCCACCTCTCCAGCCCTATGCCACCTATTTCAGCTGTCTCTTCCTACCCTTTCCCAAGTCTTCTAAACCTGGATCTATGAAGCTGGTCTTTAGGAATAGGCACAGCTGCAAGCTGAGACAAGCCTCTACCCAGCCAGACAGGCTTCAGATGCATCCATCTCATTATGACATGGAGAGCAACCACCATGGGTAAAAACCAGGTGGAAGTCTGTTGAGCAATTCCCTGCTCTGGCCACTTTCATTCTCATTTTAAAGCCCTGAAGTCTAGACATGACGTCCTTGGACTTGACACCAACCTGGCTCAGTGTCTATTCCAGCTTCTGTCTAGATGCAGATGTGGTGTGACTAAACAAATAATCTTCTAGGATACACATTGTGTAGTAGACTTGATCTCAGTGTGTATTTGAGGGTAGGAAGAGGCAGGAGGTGTCTAGGTTCAGTGTCTGGGAAGTGAGGGATTTCCTTGACTGAAAATTCTGCTGAGTAGTATTTTCTACTCAGTTGGACTGAAAGCTGATTCCAGAACATTCTAGAAAAGATACTCTAATATTAAGTGACATTTTGATATACTAACATTTTATAAAGTAAAAATCATGTTCTCTAAAACATATGGAATATGCTCCCAGAGCTCTCATGGCTCAGATTCCAGCTAGCTGTGCACCCTTCCAGTGGCAACTGCATCAGTAGCCTGTGTGGCTGTCTAGTCCTTATCACACTTTGCTGATTTCTGGTGTCTGCCTGTCTGATACTCTCCTTTTTTGACAACGAAAGTCTTAGTGTCGGTGTAGAACTCCAGCGAGGCCCTTCTCGGCCACTCAGTCTGGCCACACACTGGCCTCTTGCTTTCGTGCTCACCACCTCACTTCACGTCTATTTTTAGTTTTCCTGGCTTAAGCTTCTTCAGGCCACTGAAACACAACCCTCACTCTCTTCTCTCCCTCTGGCAAGCATGCTGCTGGTAGGAGCCCCCAGGTAGAAACTGCTTCGAAACCCTTTAGTGCCTCTTCTTCAGGAGCCCCTATGGCTTCAGGATCACAGCTCGGCCATTGAAGCTGGTCATAAACCAGCCAGCTTTCTGATAGGATTTAAACTTTGAAGCGAATGTGGCCATTTTCTCTCAGATGAGAGGATCGCTTCAACTTCCGCTTGGCAATTGCTTCCTTTCCTTGGAGGTAGCTGAATCTCGTTTTCTTTAAAACCGTCTTTCTTCCAAAGTTGCCTGCCATGCCGACCGTCATTAGTGCAACGGTGGCCCCAAGAACAGGAGCTGAGCCCAGGTCTCCAGGGCCTGGTCCTCACCCAGCCCAAGGGAAGACCACCGAGGCTGGAGGTGGACACCCAAGTGGCATCTATTCAGCTATCATCAGCCGCAATTTTCCAATTATCGGAGTGAAAGAGAAGACTTTTGAGCAGCTCCACAAAAAGTGCCTGGAGAAGAAAGTTCTTTATCTGGATCCTGAGTTCCCACCAGACGAGACCTCTCTCTTTTATAGCCAGAAGTTCCCCATCCAGTTTGTCTGGAAGAGACCTCCGGTGAGTAGTCTCCTGGGTTTTGTAGCTGGCTGAAGTTTGTCCTCAGAGAAGTCCTCCCACTCAGCACCTCCCCAAGCACAGCTGTGCACATGGGCACTGGGGGAAGGATCCTGGCAGGGGCCTGCTGGGCTCTGGCTGCAAGTGTGGAAAGGGGAGGACAGGGTCAAGTCCAAGAGAGGGCAGGCAGGGCTGGTTCTCTCTCACTTTCTCTCTTTTCTGCTTTTCATGAAAATAATCAGATCCCTAATTCATCAATAAAACGGCCATCCCTTCCCCATAACCAGCTGTAGAATGTGCAGAGATACCTTCTCTGCCTAAATGTATTGAGACTGCTTCCATTTCTCAGGCTAAATCATGAGATCTTGTCCTTTCGTTTGCCAGTGACCATAGATTTCTGAGACAGGGAAGCCAGGAGAAGAGGAGCAAGGCAAAGATTACCTTTTCAAACATAGAATACTGGGCTTAGAAGAATTTTTGTCTGTTTGCCTCACTGCATACATTAGGAAGTCAAGGCCCAGCATGAAATAGACCCGGCACATGACAGGGCCTGGGTGAAACCCTACTCGCTAGCCTCAGGCTTTCACTTACAGGGATCCACCAGAGGGAAAGTTATGTTCCTATGTCTTCCCCTTCTCTGGTCATGCTTTCAATGTGACTTTTGCTTTTGATACAAGAGACATTTTAGTTACAAAATAATCTTCAATGGTAGAACTCTGCTTAGCATGTATGAGGCCACATGCCCCATCCCTGGCACTGCTAAAAGGTAGATAGATGATAGTAGGTAGGTAGGTAGGTAGGTAGGTAGGTAGGTAGGTAGATAGATAGATAGATAGATAGATAGATGATAGATAGGAGAGAAAAAGTAATCACAGAAAGACTTATTGTACATCTACTAGCTTCACATACTATGCAAGTTACTAAGAGAGTCACAAGTAAGAGACAAAACACTATCATAAAGCCTGGAGTTTTTGGTTTTGTTTTGTTTTTTTTTTTGGTTTTTTTTTTTTTTTTTTTTTTGGTTTTACGAGACAGGGTTTCTCTGTATTATTTTGGAGGCTGAAGCCTGGAGTCTTAAGGGGTTGGGCAATGAGTTAGAGTGACTGTCAGGACTCCGTGTCCAGAGTGGATGGGGTCAAAGAGAGAAGGTCATGTCTGGAGAGAGAAAACTTCCCTGAAGAAGTAATGTTAGGCTTTTCATAGGATTCACTGGCTTTGCTTTTCTCTATTTACTAACTAGAGCTGTCACCAGGCTCATCTACTCTTCGATGCTCTTTGGTAAGGCCCATCATGGCTGTCATAAGTGTTCTCAGTTTAGAAGAGAATGCTGCAGAGGGCCAGGTGTAGCTCGGCACACACCCTGTGTGTGTGAGGTCTCAGATTCCATTCAAGCCATGGGGGTGGGCAACCCAATGTATTTAGACTGTCACACCCCTGTTCAACTTGCAGCATAAGTCTTAGCTGAGCAGCAGTCCTTCTTAGCTTAGCCCATGCTGCCCTCTCTCCTTCACCCTCTTCTCCCAAACCTAATACTACAGCTGAGCTTCTGCCTGCAGTGCCCTGCCAGGGTTTGGCTGATCGATTTGTCCTTGCTTTCACTGAATACCTGCTCAAATGCTATTCCTTCAAGCTTTCTCACCTCTCTTCTCCCAGTGTTGAGAGCAGGATATATTCATGGCCCTTTGTAGACACAGGACACATACCGACCACAACAGTACACAAATGATGATAGTGAATAAAAACCCATATCTAAGGGTTGGACCCAGGACAGCCCTGCTTTCCAAAGTCGGGGGCCCCTACTTCTAAAATCCTATTCAAAGGACAAACGGAGCAAAGCCTACAAACAAAACACTGTTCTTACTGAAATCACTGACGGCTTTGACTCCAAAAGCTAGATTTGCATATATATAAAGGGTCTGCGATGCTCTGGAAGTGACAGTAATCCCAAGTACACACTGTCCTGTTAGCACACATGAACCAGTGTGCTCCAAGAGACCTGGCTGTTCAATATTGGGCCCCTGTCATCATCACCAACAACCGAGATCCTGAATTTTCCAGCCTCCTGGTTAAAATGCCTGTGTGTCCCACATGTGTAAGATCAGGACATGGGGGAGGGAGGAGGGGGTGGAGAGATGGTTCATTTGGTTCTGAGCACCTACAGGGTGGTGGCTCATCACTGTCTGGTTTTCCCAGTTCCCAGGGATCTGATGCCTCTTATGATCTCTGTAGGTTCCAGCACACATGTGGTGTACATACATATACTCAGGCACACATACATATGTACATATAAACCAAAAGACTGAGGCATACGTCCTTGTATTTATAGAATGGGTTTAGAAATGGACAGTTGGAATGGGTCATACACGTGTTATCCAAGCTCTTCACTTTGCATGATTATGGTCAGAAAGTACAAAGGATTATGTATGAGTCAAACAAATTAATTGAAATTAGAAAATTGAAATGACTCCAGAACTTTCTGAAATGTAAAGCTGTAGCCAGGCGGTAGTGGTACAAGCCTTTAATCCCAGCACTTGGGAGGCAGATCTCTGTGAGTTCAAGACCAACCTGGTCTACAGAGTGAGTTCCAGGACAGCCAGAGCTACACACAGACCCTGTCTCAAAAAATTAGAAACAAAAAACAAAAAACGTAAAGCCATTCTGGGAGACATCCATTCCCCATGCACTTCCTTGGACATAGTAACCTCTGTCAGGCCCAAGAGTATGAAAAGGGGACTGTGTCCTGTGTGTAAACACACTAGATGGGAACTTCATTTTCTTGGCATATCCCCTGCCCCGCCTGTTATTGGTGTTATAACTCCATATTCAGCTATGCTTTGCCCAGCTGTCTATCCTTCCTTCCTCCTAGCCTAGCTAATCCCCTAGCTGCCAACACCTGGACCTGAAGAAAACTGCCAGTCAGACAGAAGCCCCTCAGGACCTCCATCTAGATGGCCTACTGCTTGTTACCATCGTTGAAAATGTCTTGAATTACACTCTAAGAGTGATATTGAGTTGATTTTCCCAAACTGTCATTCATCACCAACCGTATTTCACCCAAGCTGAAATTTTCATACTAGCACTTGCTGGTAGGACAAAAAATATAAACCCAGAGACAGATACCAGGGTTCAAGCTGAAGATCAGAAAAGCAAAGCAGCCACACCACCCTCTTACTCTATCAAGGCTTGGGCAATCCTGTCTTCAGTGTGGCTGGAGACTAATTTGCTAAGTCTGAGACCCTGTCTTATATTCCTCTCCAGTGCTTGGATTAAAGGCATGCACCACCGACGCCCAGCTTCTATGGCTAACTAGTGTAGCTGCTGGGATTAAAGGTGTGTGCCTCTATAGCTATGGCTAGCTTTGCATTCTGATCCAGGCAAGTTTTATTAGATTGTTAAACCCAATTTCCAGAACCCAGATCACTACTACGAGACCAATTCCAATGCAAAAACAAAGAGTCGTTATTTGTGAGTTGACTTGGGTCCCTCCATAAGCCGTGGCAGCAGTGATAACAATAGCAGCAGCAGCTGCAGAAGCAGCAACGGGAGCAGAACAGGATAGGGAATGTGGTTTTTATAGTAGCCAGACAGGAGGAAGGGGGCTTGGGGAATTCCAAACCTGCCTAGCTATAGATTTGGGATTGGCTGCCCTGAGTCTAGGGGGATTTCTAAGCCCTCTGGCTTGTGATTGGCTGCCCCCATGAAGTGTTGATAATTTCCAATCTGAGGGGAATTCCCACCCTGAGGAGATTCCAAACCCAGGGGGAATTACAAGCCTGAGGCCTGGGATTGGTCAGTTTTTCCAGCTCAAGGATTGGCTGGTTTTATGTCGGTGGACAAAGATGGCTCCGATTCTAGAGCCAAACTGTGTTTCTTTCTATGGTTCTTTTTGTTTTTTTTTTTTGGCTCCACTTTTAGGGCCTGGTTCCCTTATACAGGTTCCAATTCCAGGGGCAAAGGGTATTCTTTTGGTGCTAGTCTCAGAATTTGGGTGTTTTTCCCAGACTCTAGGTTTAGGGATAAAGTGTCTCTTTCACTGGCTTGGGTCTCAAATCTAGGATGTGTTTCTTTCACTGGGTTGAGGCTCAGAGTTGAGCCATTCAGGGACTGTATAGGAGTTGCAGATCAGGGATTCTCTGGGGCCTGGGTCTCTCAAGATCATAAACAATACATCACCACACTTGCTTGATCTCCTTGTCCACAGGAAGTGATGGCCACTCCCCAACTCAGCCAACCACTTTGGAAGGAGGCTTTGCCGTGTAAGATGCACTGTGGTTTCAGAGCTGTGGGGAAAAGTGAGAAATATGAGGGAAAATACTGCACAGCGTGGAAAAAAAGAGGCAGATCAGACCCCCTTGCCCACTTCCATGTCCCACACCCGACACTCCCAGCCCACGGCTCGACCTTCTTCCATGATGCCTACCAGCGTGAATCAGACACCTTGGCTAGACTTTACTGCTCTCTGTGTGACCTCATCTCTTTACCTTTTCCGAGATCTTCACTTCACTGACAGTTCGATTCCCAACACTGGTATAGCAGCTGACAACTGTCTGTAACTCCAGTGCCGATGGATCTATCGCCACTTTCTGGCCTTCTTAGGAAGTGCATACATGTAGTGAATATAGTGAACACAGAACAGCCAAAATACCCATACACATTAAAAGTAAATTTAAATAATTTTAAATTTAATCTCTAGTCAGATATGGTGGTTTGAATCTGTAATCTTATAACTCAGAGGAGGAGGCAAGAGGATCAGGAGTTCAAGGCCAGCCTTGTCCACATAGTGAGTTCATGGAGTATAAGAGATTAGTCTCCCAAATAAATAAATAAATAAACTCCAATTTGAAAACACTTGTTTCTTATTTACATAATTTTAAACATTTACTTATTGTATATACCATATGTGGGGTAGTAAGGGATAAACAGGATAATATGTTTAACATACAGTAGATGACAGTAAGAAAAATAGAGGAAACAACCTCTTATTGACAATTTCATACATGCGT